GAGTTGGTCCTGTTCCGCATTGGGTTGGGGGCCGCGTACTGGGCAATTCTCGCCTCAGTGCTGAAGACCATGGGTACGAGAACGAACGACCAGGACGAAGACGAACGCCAGGAGCGATACCGCGGGCGTCCAGCTTGGTTTCCTTTCTCGTTGAAGGTGGCCTGGAAATGCTCCCAAAAACGACCTTGCAGCCCAGAACGCACCGTGCGATTGCGCGGACGAGTGCACTTAGCACGCCCCACATACCAGGTTCCAGACTCCCAGGAGAAAGCTGAGTAGCATAATGCTGCATGCGGTTGGGAGGCAGGGTCCCAGACCAAACGAACCATTTCAGTAAGATACCGAAGCCAAAACTCCCCTCGAAAGTCAGATCGTAGAACGCACATTTGGAGATTAGGCGTAGCACATCGAAGAAGTACTCGCGTACAGTGTTTTCGCTCGTGCTGTTTCGAAATCCATTCACATGCGATAGGGATGCCGATAAAGACCAGGAGGGACAGAACAGCTTGTGATTCATGTTTGTGTTGCTGCCACGATGTGAGGGTGCACCTAATATTAACTGCTTTTTGGAACCAGTGTTGACCACGTACTGCACGCGTGCTCCATTTAAGTACCAATATGCCAATCTTACGCGCTGTGGTGGTCGTGTCTGATGTAGGTGTGATACTACAATACTGACAGAGACCAGATACAAGAGCGTGTTCAGATAGACACTGCAGAGCATGTAAAGGTAGGTGGTGGGGTAGGGAGGGAAAGACTTCTCGCACACGACGTGACTGGGCTTCCATGCATGCCATGTGAGGAAAGCCAGGGGGTAACTGCACAGGAGAAAAATAAAGAAGCAGACGAGCTTGGGTACAGAGTCAATGTAGATGAAGAACAAATGGATGATGGTGAGGATGGGGGTGTAGTACTGATAGTAATTTATATTTCCACGCCAACAATATGGAACTGTGAAACCGCTGCTTGTTGGTAGACCAGACATGTATTTTCACCACATCTGCTAGCACCCGGCCACCTTTGGAGTGTGCCACTGGGGTTTACGCCATCACCGCTTGGTGCTAAATGGGCTGCAGCACGCATGGCATTTGCGCACTATTCCTCTGAGCAGATCCACGCTAGCAAGAGTATGACTCCGGCTACTTTCGGGAACGTTGTTAAAATGACGCCAAGCTTAGCAACAGCAAGGCAAAAGCTGAGAGAAAGAGAGATGAGACAGAGGACCCAAGACGCAAGAGAAACTGGGAGTGAGCTGAGCAAGTTGTGGTACAACGTGAGATTTACATGCAGGACGGGTGTGCAATCAACTCTCTCACAGAAAGCTGCTTCTACTCCGGCTGCTGCTTTTGCTGATGATGTAAATGATGGTGATGATAATGACGACGGTGCTTGCGAAGACGAAGAGGATGAGATGGAAGAGCGAGGAGAGAGAAGGGAGGATAAGGAGGAGGAGAGTAGGAGAAGGAGGAAGATGAGGAGGAGGAGGAGGAAGAGGAGGAGGAGGAGGAGAGTAGGAGAAGGAGGAGGGAGGAGGGCGCACGAGGAGGGAGGACAAGTTCCTCTCTGGGCGTGACCGTAGGCGCACGGTTGTGTGCCACGCAAGGGGGGAAGGAGGAGGAGGAGCCTGAGGATGAGGACGAGGGATGATGATACTGCTGCTGCTGATGATGATGCGGATGATGGTTGTGGTGGTGGTACTGATGATGATGCTGATGCTGATGAAGCTGGTGAGGATGATACTGATGAGGATGCTTATGAGGATGAGGGTGAGGCTGAGGAGGATGATGACGATGTTGATGCTGCTGCTACGGATGATGATGACGATGATGTTGATGGTGATGAAGGTGATGATTGTGGTGGTGATGATGATGGTGTTGGTGGTGATTATGAGGACGATGATTGTGATGATGGTGGCTGATGAGTATGATGATGCTGATGATGTGGATGGTGGATGGTGATGAGGATGAGAGGATGAGGAGGATGCGGATGCGGATGCGGATGAGGATGCGGATGCGGTTAAGGATGAGGACGGAGGTGCGGAAGAGGATGAGGATGATACTGATGATGATGTCGGTGATGCTGATGCTGATGATGATGAGGAGGATGCTGATGGTGATTTTGATGATGACGGTGATGCTGTGGTGGTGATGATGGTGATGGTGACGATGGTGGTGATGATGAATGATGATGATGGCGATGAGGATGATGATGATGATGTTGTTGATGATGATGATGATGATGCTGATGGTGCTGACGACGACGACGACGGCGACGACCATGACGATGGTGTTGATCATGATGACGGCGATGCTGATGATGATGATAATGATGATGATGCTGCTGATAATGATGGTGATGATGAGTGTGCTGCTGCTGCTGATGACGGTGATGCTGCTGATGTTGATGATGCTGATGATGATGTGAGGGTGATGAGGAGGGTGATGAGGAGGGTGAAGAGGGAAGGGGCGAGACAGGAGAGAGGAGGAGCAAGAGGGCGGAGGCGGGCCGAGGCGGAAGAGAGTAGGGAGACATGCGATGCCCAGATGTTTACCAACCATCCTGTGGTGTTGGGTCCTCATTTTGGAGAGAGAGCGCCCCGCGTTCACTCCCCCTCCCGCTGCCCCCTCCCTCCTCCCATCCTTGCCTCTCCTTTCCATGTCGGCACCCCCCTCACACGTCTCGTGGTCCCATCGGGAGCTCCACCGAAGGCCCCAGTGGCGCAGTTTACATGCGTCCCCTACACCCATTTCGGCACACCCCTCACACGCTTCGTAGCCCCATAGCGAGCTCCACCGAAGGCCCCAGTGCCACCGCCCACATGCGACCCCCACACACAATTCTGCACCCCCCTCACACGTCTCGTGGCCCCATAGGGAGCTCCACCGAAGGCCCCAGTGCCACCGTCCACATGCGTCCCGCACACCCATTTCGTCACACCCTTCAAACGTTTCGTGGCCCCATCGGGAGCTCCACCGAAGGCCCCAGTGGCGCAGTTCACATGCGCCCCCCACACCCATTTCGGCACGCACCTCACACGTTTCGTAGCCCCATAACGAGCTCTACCGAAGGCCCGAGTGCCACCGTCCACATGCGACCCCCACACACAATTCTGCACCCCCCTAACGTCTCGTGGCCCCATAGGGAGCTCCACCGAAGACCCCAGTGCCACTGTCCACATGCGCCCCCCGCACCCATGTCGGCACACCACTCACACGTTTCGTGGCCCCATCGGGAGCTCCACCGAAGGCCCCAGTGCTACCGTCCACATGCGTCCCCCACACGCATTTCGCACACCCCTCACACGTCTCGTGGCCCCATAGGGAGCTCCACCGGCGAGCCCAGTGCCACCGTCCACATGCGTCCCCCGCACCCATGTCGGCACACCCCTCGCAGGGTTCGTGGCCCCATCGGGAGCTCTACCGACGACCCCATTGCCACCGTTTACATGCGTCCCCCGCACCCATTTCGGTACCTTCCTCAAACGCTTCGTGGCCCCATAGTAGCTCCACTGACGGCCCCAGTGCCACCGTTCACATGCGTTCCCCGCACCGATTTGGCACACCCCTCACATGCTTCGTGGCCCCATCGGGAGCTCCACCGAAGACCCCAGTGCAACCGTCCACATGCGTCACCCGCACCCATTTCGGCACGCACCTCACACGTTTCGTGGCCCCAAAGGGGGCTCCACTGAAGGCCCCAGTGGCGCAGTTTACATGCGTCCCCCACACCCATCTCTGCACACCCCTCACACGTCTCGTAGCCCGATAGCGAGCTCCACCGAAGCCCCCAGTGCCACCGTCTGCATGCGTCCCCCGCACCCGCTTCGGTACTGCCCTCACATGCGTCGTGGCCCCATCGGGAGCTCCACCAAAGGCCCAGTGCTACCCTCCACATGCGTCCCCCACACCCATTTCGGCACACCCCTCACACGTTTCGTTGCCCCATAGCGAGCTCCACCGAAGGCTCCAGTGCCACCGTCCACATGCGTCCCCAACATTCTTGTCGGCACGCACCTCACACGCTTCGTGGCCCCATAGCGAGCTCCACCGAGGGCCCCAGTGCCGCCGTCCACATGCGTCCCCTACACCCATTTCGGAATACCCCTCACAAGGTTCGTGGCCCCATAAGGGCCCCAGTGGCGCAGATCACATGCGTCCCCCGCACCCATCTCGGTACACTCCTCACACGTTTCGTGGCCGCACAGGGGGTTCCACCGAAGGCCCCAGCGCACTGTCCACATGCGTCCCGGCACACATTCCGGCACATCCCTCACACGTTTCGTGGCTCCATCGGGAGCTCTACCGAAGGCCCCGGTGGCGCAGTTTACATGCGTCCCCCACACCCATTTCGGCACGCACCTCACACGTTTCGTGGCCCCATGGGGAGCTCCACCGAAGGCTCCAGTGCCACTGCCCGCATGCGTCCCCCACACCATTTTCTGCACCCCCCTCACACATTTCGTGGCCCCATAGGGATCTCCACCGAAGGCTCCAGTGCCACCGTCCACATGCGTCCCCCGCACCCATGTCGGCACACCCCTCGCAGGGTTTGTGGCCCAATAAGGGACGGCACCGAAGAAGACATTCACAATTGTGCCACGCACAGCTGCATATAGTTAGGTCCTTCGCCAGGTTTTTTTCCATACGGGGGTTCCGGAAATCTCGACCTTTTTCCCAGGGCCAGTTTTTCACCCCAGGTCGTTTTTGACGGTCCCCGGGCCTTGTAAGGGCTGCCAGAGGCCGAAAACGGCCAACAACTTTCCGTCGCGATTCCCTGATAGCGTGTCGCTAGAGGGCTCATATAGCGGTAAAGGGGACCAGACGAGGAATAGCTCTAGGAATGCACGTCTTCACTAGCCGTCCTCCTACTTCTCGACCCTCCTCTTCAACTTTGGCCGCTATCAGGGTGCTTTGCTGTGGCAATCTTCTAGGTCGCGAGCATGTCTGGGACTGCTCTCGACGTGGCCGCTGCCCCCTCACCCCACCCGGTGCCCCCGCGAGGTGGTCGCGGCCTTGCCGGGGCCCCCCCCGGTGCCCACGGCGGAGACAGTGAGTGGCGGGCTTAGTCGGCGCCGGGCTCCGCCCTCTTCAGTCGATCGCCTCCCTCCCTCCCTCCCCCTCCCTGCGAGCCCGCTTCAGCCACGCGCAGAGGGGGGTGGGGGGAGGGGGGAGGGCTTCTTGGAAGCACCCCTACTTTTTAGAAGACGCGGGCTCTGATATATAGATGTAGGGCCGGCGCCTTCTCAGAAGCAGCCTCCTTCTGAGAAGTCCTCCCCCCTACCCTCAGTCCTTTATGCGCGCCGCCAGCCGCTGGTGGTCTGAGGGGGCACAGCGCTGCTTCTGGCCAGCAGGAGGGGGGGGGGACGAGGTTCGAGGTGCTGAGTTCGAGAAGTTTTGTTTTGTTTTTTCTTTCTATCTCCGGGAGCCGTTTCAGGGCCCTGGGGCGATCAAGACCAAATCCGTGGTGAAAAGCAGCACCAGATGGACCCCGGCATGGGCTGGCCCGAGACCGATTTCGAGCGGATTTGGCTTCGCCGCCACCTTGATCGATTTTCTGGGCTACCATCCAGTTCATACCCCCTGGCCGCCTCCAACCCCTTCCCTCCCTCGCCTCGATCGTCTGTCGTTTCCAGCTTTTTGCGCCGTCCGCCGCCCTCTCGTTTCTGTGCGTTGGGCCGCCTGTGGGGGCTGGGCCTCCCTTCGCTGGGGAGGGTGGCGGTCAAAACTGGAGTACCCCCCTCGGCTCTCGGGGTGAGAGGCTGTCATCAAGACGGCTCTCAGACTGCTGCAATGCCGATTCCGACTCATAGACCCTCGACTGACAGGCCCCCCGTTTCGCGCCGTCCGCCGCCCTCTCGTTTCTGTGCGTCGGGCCGCCTGGGTCTTTGGGCTGGGGCTCCCGTCGCTGGGGCGGGCCCTGGCCCTCAGGGCGAGAGCCTTCCGCAAGACGGCGCGTAGACTTCTGCAATGCCAAGTCCGACCGACCCCCCGTCGACGGCGGCGGCGTCAACGGCGGCGGCGGCGACGACGACGACGAGGACGACGGCGGCGGCGGCGACGACGGCGAGGACGGCGACGGCGGCGGCGATGACGACGACGGCGGCGGCGGTGATGACGACGACGACGGCTCCGCCGCCCTGGGCCGCCGACCGCTCGACCCCGTCGCGATCGCCTTCCGCTGGCCGCCGCCGCCGCGGCGGCGCTCGCAGGTGGCTACGCGGACCGCGTGAACGTCTCGTGGGCGGAACCCTCGGACAATGGGGGCTCCGTGATCCTCGGGCGACCCTTCCCCGCAGAGGAGGCGGGGCGGAGCGGGGAGGGAGGGGGGAGGGGGGGGACGGGGAAGTCGTGGGCGGCCGTCTTCTCCAGGGACCCAGGGACTGCGCCCTGGCTCCAGGCCACGGGGAGGAACACGTCGCAGGGGGCGCGCCATCAGCCGCATGCGACGAGTAGAGCCCATGTCCGAGTGGCCTGGCGGGGGGGGGCGCGCGGCCGAGCGGCATGCGACCGCCTGAAGCGCGAGAAGCAAGGGGGAAAGGGAGGGGGGACAGCGGGGGCTGGCGTGTCACTACCTCCTTGTGCATTGTTCAAGAGGCTGACGCCGTTCCCTCGACCCTCAGACGAAGCGAGGAGCCCATTGAAATTGCTAGGGCGAGACAAGGTGCACAATCCTGTGCCCACATCTGCATCCATGTTGTGCAAACACAGGTAAAATATGGAAGAAGGGACATCAATCATCTTGCGCGACTCTGCAGTTCCAGGAAGCGGACGTCGGTGGATTTAGACTCTGATGAACACGCCTCGCTCTTCCATGGAGAGCCCTCCTCCGCAGAGGGGCGGGTAGGAAGATGAGCAGGAGGAGGAGGAGGAGGATTCCCAGGAGGAGGAGGAGGAGGGGGATGAGAAAGCAATAATGGTCGGAGCGCTGAGCTCTTTGTTTCACCTTTGCGCGAACCGCTCGCTCCTCCCTGGCCCAAGTGCTGGGGCTAGGGGATTATGTGAGCATCTGGTATGCCGTGCCGTCCGCGACGGACAGCCACTTGGGCATATGAAGGCTGTGAGGCGATCTTATTCAATAAGCTCCGAAGGCTACCTGCTCGAGGTGTTTTATTATTCTGAGTTGTTGCAGCCTCGGCAGCCCAAGCTACTTTCCAGACGCTATATGTACTGCAGCTCCCGACCGTGGAGCCTAGAGATGGAACCGGAATGCCCGTGCCATGAGATGCAACACGCTGGATGCAAAAGGACTCTGCTCGTGCCATGCGCAGATCATGCACGTGCAGTGCGATGCAACACGCCGGAAGCAAGATTGCGCACGTGCAGTCCGATGCAACGCACTTATCATGCACCACTGGGTTCCCGACCAGTGCTTGCACGATCTTGGCGAGAGGGAGGAGGACGAGGTCCAATACCATAAAACCTCGCCGACCGCAAGCGTCTCGGCGCGCCGCTACCTTTGAATACGATGGCCTCGCAACTCGCCAAGCCCTTGTCGAAACACGCGTGGAGTGAGCGGGGCTTGGGCCACCAGCGCGACATAACGAATCCAATCGACGAGCACCGCCGGGGTGCTCCGAGGCACCATGCCGAGGTTCCGGACATCACCCAAGGCCCCTCGAGGCAAGTCAGAGATCCCCCTTTGGGCGCGCAGGCCAGGGCGCCCGGCACCCAGGTGTGAATTCTTAGCGTCCCTGGACTCGGATTCCTCCCTCTGGGCATCGCCGAGGAGAACAAGCAGAGCGCCATAAGAGGCAGAGAAGCTCAGGCACCCAGAGAAGAACTGCTCGTCCCAGGCTACCACCTTGAGGGCAGATGTGTACTTTCATGCCCGGGCGAATGACCGAGGCAGCCATCGTTGCTTCGCGCTCCCAGCCACGAACATACCGGCGCGTACACCCACGAAGAGGGCAACCACGCCTATGATAATGGTTATGGGCCGCACCTGGGCAAGTGTACAGTCGGGCCGAGCAGTCCTGCTGGCATGGGGAGGTCCAGAAGGAAGCGATCAGTCCACCATCACTGCTTCCCCGTCGCTAGCAGGCCCTTGGCCGTCACTCTGAAGGGCTGCCATGAGAGCCCTACTGCCACGGAGTCGGCACCTCCGGGATGAAGCTGGCCAAGGAGCTTCTTGACGTCCGAAAGTGCATTCGCCTTCAACTCTTCCTTCACGGCACCCCACCTGCTACCGTCCTTCGACACCAGCTGCTTGATGCCAACGGGGACCTTCTGGCGGATCGGCTTGGTCGTCGGGGTGTTGTACTCATCGCGTCCCCAGGGGATGCCAATTTTTGCGCACAAGCCCCTCTCCGCGGTCTTGTGTCGGGCCAGCTTCTTTGTGGTGGTTGCGTACGAACATCGCACCCCCATTCGACACCAGCTGCTAGATGGCACCCCCGGGCTCCGTGAGGCGCACTTCCGCGTGGACGGCCCGCAGCGTCTTTGGCGAGAGAGGGGGCCTCGGGCTGACGGCGCGCCTCTCCTTGAGAGCGACCGATGCTGCAGCGCGCAGGCCGTGTTCGCCAGCACTTTATTCGGATGCCCTGAGCCTTCGCCTGGCGCCGGAATCCCGCAAGCTCCTGGCGCTCCGCCTCGTCCACTCTGGACTTCGGCTCCTTCCGTTCCTCCTTGTTCTCATTCATTTTCTGTCATTGTTTCTTCTTGTTCTGTTTTGAAAAGCTCAGCGAGGACGACGTGGGTCCAGAAGGATCTCGCCTCTTTTTCTTCTGGCCGCTTTCTATGTTTTTCCGAACCATCCTGTGGTGTTGGGCCCTCGCTTTGAAGAGACAGCGACCCGCGCTCCTTCCTTCCTTCCTTCCTTCCTTCCTTCCTTCCTTCCTTCCTTCCTTCCTTCCTTCCTTCCTTCCTTCCTTCCTCTCCTCCTCCTCCTCCTCCTCCTCCTCCTCCGCCTCCTCCCGCTCCTCCCTCCATCCTCCATCCTTCTCATCCTCCTCCTCCTTCTCCTCCTCCTCCGTAACCATGTTGGCTCAAGGTGATGTCTTCCTCTGGGGAGAGCGTGGATACCGCTAGCCCAGGAGTTTTCTCCCACGCACCCTGTGCTCGGGGCGGTGGGTAAACGGAGGCGATTCCTGTTCCTGCCGCCCCGAGCGCACAGAGACCCATGCGTGCTGAAGGGCATGATGCTGCGATGGATGGGAGTCCTGGTGGTGGTGTTCGGCGTGTTGGCGGCAGCTCAGGCTCGAGCAGAAGTGCAGCCTCCGAATGTGAGAGAGACGCCTCTCGCAGCGGAGAGGAGCCCGCCGGCGGCGACGCCAGCGTGAGCATGATCGTCTCGTGGGGGCCAGGTCGCCTCGTGGCAAGGAGGCAGCCGCGGGCTCCGCTGGAGGGCTGGCGCGGGGGTCGCGAGATCGCGTTCAGTAAAGGGGGCCCATGGAGCCAGGGAGGCGGGCGCAGTGGAGGGCGCGGTGGCTCCTCAGGCGTGGCCGCCAGCCAGCCCGCCGCCTGGGCGCCCATCGTGCCAGAGGCGACCACGCCCGTTGCTTCTGGCAGCGCTGCTGCTGCCCATGCCTACGCCGCCCCGCCTGGCGCTGCCCAGACTGATCCAGGCGTGGCGGCCATCTCGGCTGCGGCTGGGCTCCCCGAGAGTGTCGCGGCCGCCCCCTCGCAGATCATCACGGCGGCCACGAACAGCCTCAATGCGACGACGGCGGCGGCCCACCAGCAGATGGCCGCGGTCATCACGACCCACGCCCAGGAGTGCTCGGCGAGGTTCGCGGTCGTGGATGTGGACGTGGCCCGCATGCGTGAGCGGCAGGACCAGCTGGAGGCCTCGAGCGCGGAGCTGCGGGCCCAGGTCGAGGGCATTGCGGAGGCGCTCGAGAGGGAGGAGGCGCAGGTGCCGCTCTTCCAGGCGGCGAGACAGAAGCTGTGGGACAGACCTGCGGCACCGAACCTCTTCCAGATCCTGGTTGGGCCAGGGGTCACAGGCGCGAAGGTCATCGTCGGCCTCGAGGAATGGCTCTCGGCAGCGGCGGTGGCCGCTGGGCAGTATGCTCTGCACTCCCTTCCTTCAGAGCGCAGCTTCGTGTTGGAGCTTACTGGTGGCGTGGTGGGCTACGAGCGGGCGAAGCGACTTGTTGGCCAGCTCCGTGTCTCAGGGGGCTGGAGGAGTTTCATTGCTGGCGGGCGCGAGATGTTCATCAACGCTGACAAGTCGAAGCGCACGCAGCGGGTGGAGCTCCACACGAAGCGCCTGGCCCAGGCGCTTGCTGAAGTGGCGGGCTCCCCTGAGCGCTGGTGGCCCAACAAGATGCGGGCGGAGGTCCAGTTCGACCAAAAGCCTGTCGCCAGCGTCCTGGTCACCGAGGAGGACAGCCCGACGCAGTTGCGCTGGTGCAACCCGATGGTGGCGCGGCTGGGCATCGACAAAGGCAAAGTGCAGGAGGTAGTTGGTCGTATGGTTGCGGGCCCTCGCGAAGTGGAGTGGTGCCCCTAGCGCCTGCTCAGCGCGTTGGCGCCCTGGGCAGTACCAGTGCACGGAAGTTCCTGACAGCCCCCTGAAGCTCATCTCGTGGAATGCTCGTTGCTTGCTGCTGCGAGATCCGATTCGTCGCCGACGAAAGCCTGTTAACTTGAGGTCGTACATGGCGAAGCAGTGCATCATCATGGTGCAGAAGACGCATGGTGCAGCTGTCCTCCCCCAGTCTTTCGCGAGTTCGCAGCCGTGCCCGCGCGCGGTCTATTTCTCTGCCCTCCGACGAACAGGGCGCGGCGGAGGAGCTGCAATTCTCGTGCCCCAGTCTGGCCCGAAGGAGTGGGCGACGGTGCGCCCCTCGTGGTTTCCTACCTCGACGAGTTCCGAGCTGGTTCCTGGGCGCGCGCTCATGGCGAGGATCAGCGTGGCGGTTCGGCGTCCTGGAGTGGTTGTGCATTTACCCGCGGCTAGCGATGACTGCCGCGTGGGAATCACCTTCATTCATGTTCACAGCTTCAATGTCTCGGCGGAGGACAAGTCGGCGGTTCCCGCGGCCTGGCGCGGTGCGATGCGAATGGCTCGCAGGCGTGTTCTTCAGGAGCTGCCCGCTGCAGCGCGTGACTTTAACGTGCCTGTAGGGGATCGCCGTTGCCGCAGAACCCCGACCACGGCGGCCTTGCGCTCGCCGATCCGGAGCCACCAGGCGAGGTCGTTCCGGCATGGCCGTTTCGACGAGTGCGCGGCGATCAGCGGGAGGGAATCCACTCATTGCTACAGGCGCTCGGACTCCGCCTCCACGCTGGATCGGGTCTGCATCAGCCCCCCGCGCGACGCCTCCCCGTGCCTG